GAACTGTCAGGTTGTTAGGATCAGGCCACATTTGTGTCAGGCCATGAAAGCTACAATCAAGTCAAACCATATATATGAATTTGTCACAAGGGAAAAGTGTTTTCTTATAAAGCCTTTAGCTGACACCAGCTTTGGATGATAGAACCATCATTTAATACTGAAATATTCTACTGTTATTGTTTCCTTATAATGTATTCGTTACCTTCACAAAGAAATTGTGTTTTCTGTAGCATTTGTTTGTGACTGTGGTTTGACAGCATATCACAAGAATCTATTGATGTGTATGTAGTATACTGGTAGGTGTCAACAACACAAGGTGTGATTATGGGCCTCCTAGTGGCTTTGTGTGGTATTGGAATGGAATGTTTTTGACATGTTTCCTTTTATTTCAGAATCTGTATTTTGTTTAAATGTATATACATACCATGTGTTTAAAGTGTTTACCCTGTGTTATTGTGTGACAGTATTGTGTGATTTTGTATGTATTTTACATGTTAAGGACCACAGGAAGAATAGCTAACAGAAATGTCAAACTAATTGTGGATCCAAATAAAGTCCAAGTCAAATCTCATTATTAACACATGTCCCTCTCTGTGTACACCTGCAGACCTCCATCCCTGTGCCGTCCCCGGTATCAGGTGTGATTGAGGAGTTCCTGGCAGCTGATGGGGACACAGTCACTGCTGGTCAGGAGCTCTTCAAGGTTAAAGTCACAGGTAAGGATATACAGCTCAGACATGTTTCTTTAAAAGGTAATTTTGAAAACTGTCACGTTTATACGTACACACAAGAACAAAAGAAATACAGTTGTGTAATAGAACAGAAGAACACAAAAGGTTATACATGTAAGTAATTTGTGAAACTAGTATCAGTAGAGCTGTGTACCTAAACAAATTTTAGGTACAGGTACAGGTACAGGTACACAGGTTTAGGTACAGGTCCGGACCTGAACCTGTACCTGAACAATTCGACCAATTTATATGCTCTTCTGAACTCCTTCAATAACAAAAAAACATAAATAAACTTGATAGTTAAGGTTTATTCTTTGTTTATGGAGAATGCCCAGATAAAATATAGGCAAAACTAAGATGTTTTTGTTTTCATGAACACACTGTCCTTACACAGGCACCCATTGTTAACCAGCTATTTAAACATTTGAGGTCACAAAAAGGCATAAAATTGGTGTGAAATTGTTTAGGTACAGTACCGGTACTGAGGGATTAGGTATTTTGGACCTGTACCTAATCAATTTTTCCGGTACAGTATCGGTACTGCGTACCGGTACACAGCTCTAAGTATCAGTACTATTTAAGATATGTGGTGCTTCTTAAGGATATCTTGGAATGCTGTCTACATGTACTTGAAATAAATGCATGTTGGAAATGTTTAAGAAATTTAGAATCAGGAAGTC